AAAGTTTATAAAAAAAAAAATTTTTTAAAAAGCCTACATTAAGTAAAAAAGAACAATCTCAAATAAACAATCTAAACTTAGTAGAAAAAATAAAATAAAAAAGACAGACAAAACTAAGCAGAAAGTTAGCAGAAGAAAGAAAATAAAGACTAGAGCGGCAAAAATAAAATTAAAAAGATAAAAAGATTAATTAAACTTAGAGTTGGCTTTTTAAAGAGATAAACAAAATTGACAAACCGTTAACTAGATTAAAAAAGAGTTAAATTATAAATAGAAGAGGAGATATTACAACTAATACCACAGAAATACAAAGGACCATAAGAAACTACTATAAAAAATGCTCAATGTCACTAATCATCAGAGAGATTCAAATTAAAACAACAATGAGGTATCACCTCACACTTGTCAGAATGGCCACCATCAACAAAGCATCAAACAAGTATTAGTGAGGGTGTGGAGAAAAGGGGACTCTAGTACACTGCTGGTGGGAATGCAGACTGGTGCAGCCACTATGGAAAACACTATGGTATTACCTCAAAAAATTAAAAATTAAACTGCCATTTGACCCAGTGATCTCACTTCTAGGAATATACCCTGGGAAGCCTGAAACACCAGTCAGAAAGAATACATGTACCCCTATGTTCATAGCAGCACTATTTACAATAGCTAATATCTGGAAACAGTCCAAGTGTCCATCAGTAGATGAACGGATAAAAAAGTTGTGGTACATATACACAATGGAGTACTATGCAGCTGTAAGAAAGAAAGATCTCTTATCCTTTGTTATGACATGGAGAGACCTGGAGTGTATTATCCTAAGAGAAACAAGCCAATCAGAGAAAGACAAATATCACATGATCTCATTTATTTGTGGAATATAAAGAACAAAACAAACTGATGAACAAAATAGACCCAGAGACATAGAAATAGGGTACAGACTGACAAACCTCAGAAGAGGGAGATGGGGGGTGGGGGTTAAACCACAGAACTTATATGCATGTATGTGTAACCATGGACACAGACAATAATGCTGGGGGAGGGGGAGAATGGGATTGGGAGAAACATCTGTAACAATAAAACAAATTATCCACCAGCAAATTAGACAACTAAGAAGAAATAGATAAATTTCCTAGAGACACACAACTTATCAAGACTAAATCATGAAGTAATAGGAAATCTGAACAGACCAAAATTGAGCAAGGATATTGAATCGTAATGAAAATTTTCCCAACGAATAAACGTCCAGGACCAGATCGCTTCACTGGTGAATTCTACTGAACACTGAAAGAATTACAAACAATCCTTCTCAGACTCTTCAAAAAATTAAAAAGGAAGAATAATTTCAAACTTACCTTATGAGACTAGCATTACCCTGATCCTGAAGCCAGACAAGAACAATACAATAAAAGAAAATTGCAGGCCAGATATTTAATATTTACATATGTATACTATTAAATAGGAAAAATATTATCTAGAATTATTAGATTATGTGTGTGGACAACTGTATAGCAAGTCCTTCTCTTAGTCTAATGTCAATGAGGTAGGTATAAAACTAAAAAAAATTATGAGATCTGAGATTATGTATATTAATGTTCTTTGGAAAAGCTCAGTAGTCCTCAATTTTCACCATTCCTAGAAACCACGTTATAAAGAAAATCATGTTTCCCACTAGAAAAATTAGATAATTGGTAGTTGCATTCCTGACCAAATATTCAGAAGCAAGGAAACCATAAATATGAATGACAACTTGTCTTAACCATCAACTATAAGTTCTCAAATTCTTTAAAACACTAAGCTAATGTTTCAATCACCAGGAAAAAAAAATAGCTTGAAATGTATAGCATGTCCTAGATAAGAAAACTCTGTATTCAAAAACAGCAGTACAGAATAAATCAATGGATCAATAAATATTTGTTGCGTAAGGCATTATGATTGGTTCTGAAGGGAATTGAAAACATGATTCTAACCCTCAGGGAGATGACTATTTCATCAGGGACATTTACATAAGTACACTGTAATACAATATAGGAAGGATTTAGTAGCAGAAGAAAGATGACAGTAACACTCAGCATCTATTGAGCACTTATTATGTGCCTGGCACTGTTCAAATTGCTTTATCTGAATAAACTCATTTAATACTCATATAAGTTTGCAAGGTAGGTACTGATATTAGTTTCTCCTCACAGATGAGAAAATGGAAGCAGAGAATGGTTGGATTACACAGCTCACATATTGTAGAGGCAAAGTTAATCCCACATAGTCTGGCTCCAGAACCCACATTCTTAAAATAATCTTCTACTGCTTCTTAGAAGAAAATAAGTCTATGAATCAACCAAAGATCACTTTTGGCTGGCAGACAACCTAAGAAGGCTTTCTGAAAATGTTGGAATTTGTGTTAGACCTAGAAGAATAGATAGCTCTGAATTTGCAGAAGCATGGGGGAACAGAGGATATCCCAGTGAAGGAAAGGGCAGAAATTCTGGGAGATGGGAAATTGTGAAGCACAGGGCAAGCATTTTACCCACAATCATCTTACTGCTCTTTATTCAGCGAATGGAGTATATTTCAAAGAAGGCCCCTCGCTCTTACTGCATTGCATCCTCTAAATTGGTAATAGGCATTCCCATCTACCTAGTGCCAAAGAGCATTCAGAACATAATCTAAGATTCCCTTTCCCATCCCCATCACCCACCATCACCACCCACACATCCCGAGCCCCGTCCTTCCCCCTTCCTCTCCATTCCCACTACTGCCTGTTTAAGGTCTGTGACTCCCCACTGACACCATGAAGTAGCCTCCTATCTTGAGTTTCCATCTTCAGCCTCAACACCCTTCAAGCTGGTCTCCACATCAGTGCTAGGGTATCTTTCTGAAACACCATCTGGTCAAACTGCTTCCCCACCTATAGGATAAACCCAAACCATTTTGGGTCAATCCACTGGTGATCCAGCCCCTGCCTAGCCACATCTTCTGCCATTGCCCCATAGGTACCTGTCCTCCAGCCACACTGAATTTACTTGATCTCTGAAGGTAACGTCCGCTCTACAGATAGCTTTCTACCCTAAAAAAAATCCTTTACCATTCATCCCTCCAACCCTCAACCTCTAAATCTACCCTGAAAATTCCTGCTCGGGTGATTCAGCCTGCATTCTTCCTCTGGAAGCTTTCACTTATCATACAATGCAAGTTAGGCATTTTTTCTGGGTTCCCATAGCATGTTATCTGAGCCTCTATTCCCTACATCACATTGTAATTGTTTTTACATGTTTCGTTACTCACCGGACTGTGAACTTTTTACAGGCTCGGGTTTTGAGACTCATTCTCACCTGCATTTCCCAGTGCTCACTCATGTTTGATAAGTGAGTGGATTATTTATTGGATTCTAGAATCCTGGGATCCCAGACACACACCCAGTTCCAGTCTATCTTACCCACCCTCTGCTTTAATAAAAGACTCATTACTTTCTCCACTGGCTCTCTTCTTCAATCAAATTAAAATAGCTAGATAATTACATATTACTGCCATTACTAATATCTTTATGTTATCATTTTTAAAACTGCAAGACAGAGAAGCTAGTTTAAAAACTGGTTAATCCAGATTGAAGAAAGAGATGTATACTTTTAATTTAAATCCAAAGGGCACTGAACCCTCAAGACCTGGCAATGACATTGTCATCTCAAAGGGAGGGTCACAGTCATAACATAAAATTGTTTGACACAGATTCTGTTTGTAACCTGGCAATATAAATGTATGCATCGATTTTTAAAATATTTTTGTCATTCTAATTACTTTTATCTTTCCAGTGATTTTTCCTATAAAATCTGGTGGGTTTTGTGTTTTACTTTGTTTTGTTTCTTTTGAGGGGTTGGTTGTTTGTTTGTTTGTTTGTTTGTTTTGCTTTTCTTCCTCTCTGACTGACTAAATTTACCTACACCCTCAGCTGGGCAGCTGTCTCCCTTTCCCTCTCTGTTTTAAACTTGGGTTGGTGTTTTCTCCTCTGCTGCAAACTCCATACTTCCTGTGACTCCTCTATCCCCCAATACTGAGGTGCTACTTCTCATCTTGTTCCCAAGCTGATTGGTGGATCCTGCTTTGGCATTGGTAATGGTCGTTTAGCACTAATGAGACTACTTACTAGTAATAGCAGTAGTAGTATTTTTTTTTTTACTTTGCTGTGTTCTAGAAACTCTGCTAAGTACTCAGCATATGGAGTTATCACTAGCAAATTCTCATAGCACTCCTATGAAAGCCATGAAACGAACTCGAAGTCAAACCATGCCTTTCTGATTGCAGGGTAAAGAAGCAGCTCCTTGGTAGGGCTTGTAAAGGGCAAATATAAGAAGTTGTACCTCCCCTTCCCCACCTGACTACTGGCTCTCAAGGCCTTCTTGTCCACCTATCTCTCTGTTAGAATATAGAGTGAAAAAACTATCACTATGGTTGCTGCTCTTTCCTCTGTATCTCTACCTTTACATTTTGCCAAGAGCCCCTGACTCCTACTGCTTTGTCTACTGACCCCCTTTTCAGATCTTTGGTTCCTGATCTCCGGTATATCTCTGCCAAATAAAGGCATTAAAACAACACCACCCTTCATCATTATCATTTGCAAAAATAACATTTTGAACATCAAACTAGGCGGAGTTTCAGATCCAGGGGTGTTTCTTGAAGTGGAATAGGTTTACCTTTATGGAAAATATAGGCTAGACTCATGTCCCAACGAACTCTCAATGCTAAAGCACTGTGGTCTTCACAACCTCAACACTTGGATTTAGAACCAGACTTGGAACCAACTTGAGGGTCGCTAGTGCCGACCGACCAGCCCTGTGATGCCCATCCTACCAGAGAGATGCCTTCACCCCTCAAATCTCAGGAAGCTCAAGACTCAGGAGAGGTTTAAAGTAACTCCTTTTCTCAAAAAGGTAGACATCCTTGGCTTGGATCACCTCCCCATCCTCATAATGAGCTGATGGGTCTATCTGGTTCTCAGTGGCCTCACCTGAAATAAAGAGAGCACCTTCCAGCCTCTCTTGTCCCTTCGTGAAAGTGTCTCAAAGACATCCAGATTGAACAGAGATTGCCTTCAGCTGCCCAGAGTTGGTACTTTTTCAATCTGTAAGTCAAGAAGCATGAAGGATAATGCAAATTATGAATTGTCTCTCTCTTCCATCTTCTCCCTGACTTCTATCTTCTCTGTTTATCATAGTGACTTAATATATTTATTCTTCACTCAAATTCTAAAATTAAATATTGTGTCTGAAATACCACTGGATGCATTTTGAAGTTCCAACTATGTGCCAGGTGTTAGTCATTTTTGGCTATAATCCCATTCAGTGAAGGGCTTATGTCAAAGCACAGCGACATATATAGAAGATGTTCTGGAAGTGACCATTGCCTAATTAATTTTTCTCTTACATTCACTTAGCCTAACCCAGAAAAACCATTGGGTTGCTCTAATGAATCTCTGAGAGCTGCACAAGCACTTACTTCTTATCGAAGATTTACCCAAAGTACCAGAGACAACCTGACAATGTGTTTTTACTTTCTTTCACCCTAAATGCTCTCTACCCACTGGGATATTATCTGTTGACATCCAACATCTGTTGTTCATTTTTGAACACTAATCCCTGTGGTGTGTCCTTTGGGTGATCAAGCTTACTCTAAAGCTTGCTATAAAATATTCAAGAAGATTGAGACTCTCCTATTTTTCCATTGACATTTTCCCCCCTCCTTTGATTTCACCTTGATTTTATTTTTTCTTTGCTTCCCTTTCCACTATTTCACTTCCTTTTCCAGGTAGGCCTTTTCCTTCCCTATACATGTCACACAGCCTTGACCATGTGCTTCCGAACTTATAAAACTCACAGAATTCTAGACATTTTTTTTTTTAAGAATAAAAGGGCATGTCTTAGCATTATTTTAATGGAAAATAGAAAATAAAATGTTTAAAAGGTCAAATCTGTTTTCCTTGGCAAGACATGTTTTTTCTACTTAGGGTCTATCAAAAGTTGTATTTCAGAGGCCTGTCATTAACAGGCCTGATAGGAACCCCTCCTTCATCAATGCCCTTTGAAGTTAGGAATTTAAACAAAGGATAATAAAAATAATTATGCTTATATTTATACTTGTCCAATGCCCTTCATTCTAAAACGTAAGAACAGCTTTCAAACAAATTAAACTCTACAACCATTTTTTTTCTCACAGATGAAGATTATGGTGAATAAGTTTCAGCAAGGGTACGTTCATCTGCCAGATACACAGTAAAATCTGTGCTGAAACTGAAATAAAATTCAAAACAACATAAAATGAAAATGTCTACTTCTATTATATTTCCCCTCCTACTGCTTCTAATGGCCCCCACCCCACCTTCCAATTTGCTCAGAAGTGGCTAATTGTGCAGTGAAAGGCTCTTCAAGTCATTTCAATGACAATGCACTGAGACTGTTAACCAATGTGTTAAAAGCCTACAACAAAATGGTTTCATTGGGAAGTATAATTTGCTTGTCATTTTCATCTTTCCAGATGCTATGGAAGTATCCTTTATTCACCAAGTCAAAGAACTACCTTTGAAGTTGGCAGGTAATTATGAAATACTTTATAAGAATAAAATCATGGGATAACAGTGAAAGTGTTCTTTCTCTGAATCTGTCCCCATGCTGACAGGTTTGTTCATATCTCCTGAACCTCTGAGAATTCCAGGAGAAACCTTTCCTATGAATGAAGTTCTCAAAAGATAACTTGTTCTTCACCAGCGGAGCATTTATTTATCCTATAGAATGCATAATAAGACTATTCCTAAATCTTCAAAATCCCTTATCTTATGACCAATAAATCAAAAGCTCTATGCTACCTAGTGACTCTCCCTGGAACATCTCAATTAGACTTTCATTTGCTCTACAATCTAAATATTGGGCCGCTCAGGGATTCCATGTAGAAGGTAGTCTGGACTGAGCCTCATAGACCCATTCGCGTTCTAGCTCCACTCATTTGGATCCTGGTCACTTTGGTCAAATCGAATCTCCTCTCATTTGTAAAAGAAGAACTTTTTTTTTTTTTTTATCCTCACCCGAGGATATTTTTCCATTTTTTTGTATAGATAGAGTGGGAGGGAGAGAGAGAGAGAGAAACATCGACGTGAAGGGACACATCGAGTGGCTGCCACCTGCACGACCAACCCCTTAGCAGGAACCGAACCTGGGTCTCTCCGGACCGCAGGCCAACACTCTAACCGCTGAGCCAAACTGGCCAGGGCTAAAAGAAGAACTTTTGACTCCATCTCTAACTTCCTTTCCTGCTCTAAATTTATATCCATTTCTTATAAGTCACCACTGCAAAGCAATAGGCAAAATAACAGGCTAAATTAGCCATCCCATGCGTGATCTAGTCCCACTTTCACTTCGTACAGACCCACCGGTCCTCCTCACACAAATCAAGACAGCAGAGAAACTCACATCTCGTGGGTGTTAAAAGATAAACTGAGGCATATTAAAATTTTAAGAGCTTATTTGAGCAAAAAAATCAACTGGAATCAAGCAATGCCAAACTGGGTCTCCTACCAACAGGAGCCCGGAGAAAGACATATAGAGGATATGCAAAAGCAAATAAAGAAAATTATTTGATTGGCTAGTTGGCTGTCTGTAATTGGTTGTCCATAGCATTTTGATTTTGTAACCCTGAGGCATTTCCACGCTTACAGTTTGGTTTGCTTTTCTAGGCCACCACAGCATCAGAGTCAACTCAGTCTAATGGCCTCCTTGTTTAATTAATTTAACATGGCAAAAGCATTTTTATCACCATAGGGAAGGAAGTTAGAGCACACAGCCTCTACTAATTCCAAAAAAGTGGGTTCATGAACCAGGGAGAACAAGTTAAGGTTTTCCTAATACGGAGATCAAGCCTTTCAGATCATTCTAGAGTGCTTCCAAGTGGAGGAATGTTTAGGTTCTGTTTCTCCTCCAGATGAGGAGCAGCTCTAGAAGCTATTTGATAGGTTCGGGGAATTCATCCAGGTGGCCAGAGCAAGGAGTTTCCACCTGTGTGCGCTGTGAAGCCTGTTCATAAAACACTTCCCACCAGCCCACCCCATAAGGAAGTGCTGCCTCCAGGCCTAGTGGAGCAGTGCTACATTCTGGTTTCCTCCTTAATGTGGAAAACCTATGTTTCTGATTATTTCCCCAAATTTGGCATGAACTAAGGGTGAGTAACATATTGCAAAAGAGCCCTGTGTTGGGCAGCCACGCAGCTGCGGCCCTTCAGATCTAACATGGCAACTCCAGGCAAGGGGCTGGCCCTCTGGCTCCCTGGGCTCCCACCCTGCACACAGCCTCTCTGCACAGCAGTGCCAACAGGCGAGCTCATGCAAGGCCTCCCCACCTGCTGGAGCCGTGCTCGCCTTTTTAAGCTGCCCTCTCTCTTTGCAATGTCTCCCAGCTTTTCACACTACAAATTTCGTTCCATTAGCATGTTGAAGCCTCCTCCCAGATTATTCATCGAGATGTGAAATAAAATAAAACCTAATCCAGAGTCCCTCAGCTATGAATGTTCAAAGCCAGGCTCATTAAACATATCTGTCAACGATGGATTACACCAGCCTTAGGCCCCAAATTGATTGGGAGGCAGGAAGAGGGGCACAAAGCATTTGGTTGCACAATATATCCCCGAGAAGGAACTCCTTTTAAGGTGTGGCCAATTAAATCCACTTAAAGATAACTGTAGGCTACATCATTTTATAGATTCTTTTCTCTGGTTGTTAATGGCAGCCAAAGAGATAGAGAAACGGATGTGGAACTGGGAAACAATAATTTGTGTACTGTGTGTGAGAAGCTGAAAATCATTATGAATGGGAGTAGAGCAGTATGCCACATTGGAAGCAAACCCAGTGAGTTCCTGCATGGATTCAAACACTACTTCCTTGTGTTAAAAGAAGAAAAAAAAAATACTGAGTTCTGTAAAAGTGCTTAAAGTCACAATTCGCTAAGGTTCTTATCTATCATCCTGTCATTAGCATCCTCAGCACCATCTCCATCATGATATACTTTGTATTTACATTGGGCTTTTCAAGTTCAAAGCACAGAGCAGACACATCAGGCAATTAATCACCTTGAGGGATCTGTGTTGGGTGGAATGCTTTCCCAGCAAATGCATTCCTAACATGTCACTGGAGAATCCACGGGGCAGGAGTGGTCCTGGCCTACAATTTGATGTCATATGTTGGCATTCTGTCAGATTGCAAATATACATTTTCACCTACCAAGCTGACAGCCCTATTTTCTGAATCAAAGGAAAAGTGATTTTTATGGATCTTCTAGCATTAAGAATCACTCTTCTCCATTTGGGAGTTTCTGGATAGTAGGCACATTTTATACACATCTAAAAGGGAAGGGGGGTGATGGAAGGATGGAGGAAGTAAAATTAAATAAATATATTAACTGTTTTTCAATGAGAAAGTGAGCAATAGGAAAAAAGTAATTAAATCTGAGGCGATTTCTAATGGGAAACAGATGTGGACGGGAAAGTGATTTGAAATTACCGAAGGGTTCCAGACATCTTCCAAGAAGAATACGTTTTAATACATAAACATTAAACAGCACATAGCTAGGCCAAAATTGCCGAGTTTCAAACTTCACCTGCTTGCTTAAGAAAATTTGCTTCTTAGTCCACGAGATTAAAACGGAGAAGAAGGGTCTCCCATATGTGAGCTGTTCATGAACGATCCCTCGTCTATGACGGACAGTGAAACGCGGCGTATCTGTTTTGCTTCTCTGTCCTGGTAGGTTTTTCACTCTGCGTCCAGTTCCCATGCCCCCATGCTGCTCTATTTGAATTTCCAATGCAGCAGAGGAAATGGCTTCTAAAATATTAAAATCCTGTTTTCATTGACTTTCTGTATGCTTTGTGACCACATTTCTATTCAGATCAGGTTGCATAGCTTTTAACTTCCGCAAGTCTAAATTTAAAGTCAGAGCAACGGCACATTCCGCCTTAAATGGATAGCTCTTACAACAAGGGGGACGCAGTCTGGAAACTGCAGAGAAGCCAGACTGCTGTTTTGTTTTGGTTTTCTTTTTTTACTCCTCTTTTCAGACTTTTTGAAACTGTTTCAAGCTACAACTC